GGCGAGGGGTTAGCCTCTGGGTTGTAGTCGGTGTCCATCCCCTGCGGCGGGCCTGCGGGTGACGATGCCATTCTTGATGCCGTCGGCGTAGTGGCACGATGCACAACGTACTCAAACTTTATCTCCCCCTCAGGCTCTCCCGAATCGCACCTGCCCCCTCGACCGTGTATAGTGTTCGCCGGCCCCCGTCTGGTAGCGGGTGACAAGCTCCCTCACACGCCTCGAAGAAGGATCACGAACAGGAACACTCTTGACTATCTCGCTGGCCCGGACCCCGGCGAGGAAGTGCGCACAGATGCCCCCCTTGGTGCTGTGCAATGGCGCGGCAGAGTAACCGCGGAGTGGGAAAGGCCCCCGGGTTGAGGTGGGCTAGGGCCTGGCAGCAAAGAAGGAAGAAAGGAACAAGAGGGGAGAGCAGGTCGGCCCCAGCCCCCTTGAACCACTCACGGCTTGAGCCAAACACACTCTCTCTCTCTCTCTCTCTCTCTCCCGGGCATAGGGGCAGGTCAATGCCCCCGGGCTAAATAGCCCACCCGATGTTTTATCGGGCGTAGGGGAGTGAAAGTCGTGTATAGTTCATCGTTTGGGCTTAAGCCATAAAGTTCACGATAGCGAACACGATGAACGTACACACTCCGCGACACGTGCATTCTCTCTCTCTCCCTCTTCTTCCACACAGTCAGAAGGAGAGCACGGACGCACTCTCTTTCTCTCGCCCGCCCCCGCTCATGGTCATCTTTCCCGGAAGCGAGATCTGTAGATGGGTATCTGTGGACGGGCGCCGGCCCCAGTCCGAAACTTGAGAGCAGGAATGCTTCAAGACAGGCATGTCCTGTAGATCTCCTGAGCAGGAGTTCCCCCAAATGCGGAACCGTTGGCGAACATGCCTTCCAGAACAGCTGCCTCCGAATCCGCAGAGATGCACAATTTGCTCATCTTATCTCATCTTGACTCTTGACACTTCGTGAAACATGCAAACCGATCCCACTCTTTCTCAGGGCAGCCTTCGACCCGATACATTCCAACATCTTCCCAACCGTCATCCGAGAAGGGAAGCCATGCCTCAGTCTAGCATGTCTTGTGCACATCTTGAATGCTTGTCGCGTAACCTATTTCCCGGGAGTCATCACTTGTCGGAACGGCTTGCAACATCATGCAGCATCGTGCAGCTGTGCTCATGCAGCTGTGCTGCGGATTCATGATGAGATCGGGGCGCCACCCAGTTTCCGAAAACGGCAAATCTTGCTCAGGCACGATGAGACCAATGACGCCCTTCTGTCCGTGCCGCGAGGCAAATTTGTCGCCTTGGCTGCGAGGCTTCTGGCTGAATGGGAACTTGATGCAGTTTGGTCTCTGCAAGCCTGGTTACCTACCTCAGGCCGGCGGGTTTGACGAGTGATGATTTTGTAGACCTTCATGCCCTCAGCATCCGTCGTCAGCAGCACTCGATCCTCAGCTCAGGGGGCGCGGCAGAATGCCGTGGCAATGCAGCCGACCGGGCGCTGGGCGATGTATGAGGAGACCGGATTCTTGTAGTTCACCGGTGTGGCTTTGTACTTGATGTCGACCGTTGATAGGTCGTGCAGGGCTTTGGTCTCCACCGGACTGATCCTGGGATGTTCTAGGGTACCGCTTAAAGGCCTGTGGAACTGCCGAAACTCCACGATGCAGAAATCGTACGGCACGCGAAAGCCCACACGCTTACAGCCAGCTCCTGGATTCTCCTGTGCCAGTAAGTAGACGGACAGGGTACCAGAGCTTCAGACATCACTCGGAACAAGTAAAGGGTTTCTTTTGAAGATTCCAAGAGTCTTGTTTGCCAGTAGGAAGCCGTCCTCCACCTTCTCAGAGGGGCGCACCATTCCATCTTCATCCAGAACAGCGAGCTTTGCGTTTCTGCCTGCATGGCGTGTGCCAAGGCATGCAGCTTTCGACTCGCAGCTCTCCCTTCCAGCCATCCGAGCCTTTCTTTTGACCAACCTCAGATGGGTGAGAGACCCTCGCTGAAGCTTGCGGCGCTATGTAAGCAGAAAAGACGAGATAAGACTAATAAGAACTCATGCAGCTTACAAAGTGGGAGGAGGGGGGGCGGGGGTGGGGGTAGGTTCAAGTCTCGGTACTTAGTAGAGCTGTTGATGTACGAGGTATACATTAGGTTTGAAAACGAAAATTTATACGGTCCTCCTTTGAAACACTGTGTATGCAGTGATTCCAGAAGTATACCTTGCAGCTTTTCCGGCCAATGGTTTTCAACGGGTAGCAGATCCAGGGTAATGGATAACAGATGATGGGTAGTAAGCAAAAGAAAACGGATGGTATTCACAAGCATTGTTATTATTGTTGGTACTATTATGACATGGCACAGCATAGCAAAAAAATAGTATGACACACAAGACATGCTGTATCATAAGCAAGCAAACAGCATACAATGATACAGGACAAGACAGTATATCACCATATGAAAACATGTTAGTATATGACATGACATCTTGCAAAATGATATAACAAGACATCACACAATATGGCATAACGTTATATACTAGAAAATCATCTGATATAGTACAACATAAGGATAGAAACCGAATTGGAGCCGAATCAGAGTTGTTTTAGTATACAATTAGAATAGATTTAGACTAGACTTGAAATCGACTCGGAGTAGACTTAGAATGGAACCCGAACAGAGTTAGAGTATAGCATAGTATAGCAGTATAGCATAGCATAGTGTAATAAGTAACAAGGTATAGGAAGCCCTTCGGCCCTGCCTTGCCATGCTTCTCCATCGGTGGAGCCAGCAAGTCCGTTGTGCCATTCCCATGTGCTGCCATTTGGACCTCGGCTCAGGGTTTCATACAGTTTCGACTCTCACAACCGGGACTGGGCGAGGCGTCTGAGCAACGAATCTTTCCATCTCGCAGCAGGTGCAAATCTGTAATTCGCAGCGAGCCCGAGTGCTATTGTCTCTACAACTCGGCACACCTACAAAGTATTAATCAAAGCACAGAAGGCACCTCAAGCTGCGCCAGCAATGTCGGCGTATAAGGGCGTCATGCCGTGACCATCACAGCCACGCTCTACAAAGGCAGAACAATTTGTTCAAACTCCTCTGTTGAGCAGCACTGGACTGCACTCGGGAATGAAGGTCGTTGACAGACTCCGGATCCACACAGCCATTCACCACCGCGATGGCCTTCTCCTTTTTCGAGCAGAGGTAGCCACCGTGGTGGGTGAGGTGCTTGTCCGCCCCGGCGGCAACAAGTGCTTGAAGGGAGCCTTCGGGTTCGCGAGGAGCAGGTGCATCTTCCGCTTCTCCAAGGTGATGGACAGGTTCTCGATTGCCTTGCAGCCCGTCATGTCCGCGCGGTTCACCGACTTGCAATCCAGGACCAGGTAATTCAGCGAGGGGTCTGCAGCAGCAGCCGCGCCCATCGCACGCAAGCTGAACTCCTGTGGCATCCATACGTAGAGCAACACACTTCGGGTTCATCGCTGCTTCCGGGTAGTATCGCAAGTCGCGGAAAGTTCCGTCGTCCACGCGGCCACAGATTGCAGTGTTCGGCGTGGCAATCTTGTAGCTCAGCTTCAGGATCGACAAGCAAACGCCCGCAGCTAGGCTAGGCCGTCGTTGAAGGTGATGCCAACTGCCCTGAAGGCGCCATCGATATTGGCAGTGCCTAGTGCCAGGAGCTCCTGATGAGCATCGTAGAGGGGAAGAGCGGACTCCTTGATGGGATGCGGCGACTCATCTTCATCCTCCACGCTCTCCGCATTGGCCGCCATCGCGCTCGCAAAGGGAGCCTACTCGAAAGCTTGGGCCGGACAGGCGTGTCTTGAGCCAAGATCCGAAGCTGGGTTTAGGACTTTAGGGTTAGGGCAGCTGAACCCAAAGGATTCTTTGCCTGACCGAAGGTGAAGCTAGCTTCTGCGCACATCTTCTGCCCAAGGCCAGGGCTCCTTGACGTCGCATCACGAAACACCTCGCGAGACAAAGGCGGCCGTTTCAGGTTCACCTTTGGGGCCGTGAGGGCCTGCCGAAGCCGCGGTCCAAAGCAGCACGGTTCATGATGATAGCATCCTCGATATCATAACCGCTGTAACCTGCCACGACAAAGAGTTCTATGGTCGCGACCGCAGCGCTTCTTGAATCATTGAAGAGTCCGTCTGCATCTCGCGAACACTGCGATTATTGCAATCGGTGAAGTGACGAAGGTGGTCTGACAAGCCCTGTCGCTCTCAAAAGATCTTTCGTCTCCAATCATCCACCAGCCCCACAAACCCGTAAACTTCGGTTGCTCATGCTTGCGCCGACAATCATGACACCACGAGTTGAGCACGAGCTGCTCATGACTGCAACTGATGCGTTCTGCCCAGCACCAAGGTGATGAAAGTTCACCAAGTTCCTGGGCGTGCAGAGGCGACAGAGCATATCTATCAAGAATCCAACACTCCTTGCAGCTGCGGCTTTGTTCTGGCAAGGCACAATGTCTTGCTGGTGCACAGCGGCTTTTCCGGATAGACCAAGCCCAGGAGCAGCGTGTCCTGCTATGCAGTTGCCGGACCCTCGCACAAAAGTCTAAAGAATTGACATTCGGCGGAAAGTTGCTAAGGCTACACAATAGAGTAACTGAGCTTTTATAGTCCGGGCGTCACTGCGTGTAAACTGGTTCATCGCGATGCAACCCATGGCTTGCTTTCCTCAGTCTCGCTCCGAAGTGCATGCAAGAGAGACTGAGAAAGAATCGTCCCAGGCTGTCCCGTGCAATGTGGCGGCGCATGCTGGCATGCGACAAAGACTGCACATCTTTTGTAACAAGGCACGGCTCACCAAAACTAGCACAGCTAGTGAGCCTTGATTGGCTAACTTCTTTCTTCCTGACCCTGATCCTTACAAACTAGCCGACTTAAGCTGCGTGCAGAATCGAGTCCCATTGCACATTCGTAGGTGTTGCGTGGAGATTGGTTGTGGTTCGGGTACGGAATGAGGCCAGACACCACACCTGCACACCAAAAAGCGCCAAATCTCTGTGCAGATGTACGCACACATGTTTGTCAATACCCAGAACGGGCGATTGATTGGGCAAGCTGAGCTACGGCCCCGTTTCTTGCCGTATTCATGCGAGTTTTTGAGTAGCACGACTCGGACTCGCAGCAGTGGACGGCTCCAGCAGCCTGCCCGGCCTAGTAGAGTAAATGGCTCTATCTCCAGGTGCGTCGTTTCGGGCGTTATCTCGTCAGGGTGCAGAGCGATGAACAAGTTGTTCTCCTCGTTGACATCTACCTTGGCGAAGCAGGTAATGCATGACAACTTCAGCAGTGGGCATCCACGTGTGTTATCGTCAGGTTGTGCTCGCGTGACCTGCTGAATCTTCTTTACTATTTATCTGCTCCCACGACAATCTTGGTGCACCAATGATTCCAGTGCACATGTGTGGCAGGAAGCTATCACTGAGAGAGCCAACGCTTCAAATCAAACTCAGCCAATACATGCAGGCAATTGGTCGAAGAACCCACTCCACCACGCCCTGCTTCAGGAAGTCCTCGAACTTCATGCCGCCATCTGCTTTTGACTTCAGCATCCTGAGACTCCAAAGACGGCTCTGTCACATTCTTCATCTCAGAGCACTTTCCCTCTCTGCTGTGCTTGCTGCCAGGGGGCAGTGGCACATGCTTTTCTGGAATGAAGCGCGGCTTGCAGTCTGCAACGATGATCAACGGACGGCACAGGCGGCCACCATCGGATGCGACAAAGATTGCATGCCAACCTGCAGAGCTTTTCGTCAGCCGCAGTATCTGCAGCAACAAAAGCAGAAGCCAACCTTCATCTTCGTAGATGGACACGAACTCGCCAATAAGGCCACGTCGGCGCAGCTGCTGCAAGCCTTGGAAATTTGTCATTGCGCAAGCATTCATATTCCATTCGTGGTTTTACCGAAGCTATGCGACGATGAAGTACGGCATGAGGGTTGTTCGTTTTTCGCATGGTTCTCGACAACACACACAGCTCCCCACTGCAAACTTGAGGTCCGAATAGGTACTGTTACTATCGACATTGGTGCGCATGGACTGCAAGTACAAGTTTGGCAGGAACCGAAACTGCTTGTGCGTGCCTATCACGTTGTCTCATGACACAGCCGATCTGTAAATGAGCGCAGGGACTACTTATCGTGATTGCAGAACTCTGGCTTGGCCGGCAGTCTGAGTTCAGCAACGCCAACAATCTCGACAAGAGGACTCACGATTAATGTCGCTCAGAAGATCTTAAACTGACATACCACAGGAAGAATACATGACATGAATGAACTAAAACCGAAGAAACGGCAGATGACTATGCCAACGAGGCTGCACCCACAGGAGAGGCACCCTTTGGAGAAAGTGCTGGGAAACGTGTATAGCAAGCCTTACGGCAGCCTTACAGAGCAATGGTCCTGGTTGAACTCTGGAAAAAGCTAGCGGGTTCTGCAGCGACGTTGGGGCCGGCCAACTGGCGATCTCTAAAGCAAGCAGCTGGCCATGAAGCGCTTGGGTCTGCGATGAATTCCGAGCAGACTGCCATTGAGGAAGACCTGGAATGGAGGCCAAGCTGCATCTGCTGACGTGTTCACTTTCGTCTTCCCGCTACGATGGTTTCAGGGACGCCGTGTAGCAGATGCTTTTTCAGCATCATTCGCAAATGCGAACACGCAGCCAAGTAGTTGCCAATGTGATGCAGTTCTTCACCAGACATCATAAGAGCATCCTGCGCGATCGAGGCCCTCATGGCCCTTAAGAGTCGCGACACCGCCAGCAAAGGGAAAATGACACCAGGGCTTGCCCTACGGCACTGCTCGATTGCGGAATCCCATCCTCGACCCCCAGGCAATAGCACATTTGTCGCAGGGATCCACGCTGACCTGAGATGTGCATTCACATCTGCAGCACGCCAGTGCTCACAAGGGCAGTTGTGCGCTGTGGGCTGTCCTGAGGCCGCCTCTCTCCCCAGTTGTGACATGCGTCAGCAGCGCAAGGTGCCTGGAAACATGCGAGATCGCACCGCTGGCTTGCGAGGGCCTTCACATGCAGTCCGGGCACTTCACGAGACCACATTGCTCACCTTCTGGTGTGTCTGCTGGGCAGATCATTCCCCACTGCGAAGGCTGCAAAGCTCGAGGACCCGCCACTTTGCGACTCTTCTCAAACTGGGATTTCACTCGCATCCTCAGATTCCAGGCCCTGGTTCTGCACTCTGCTGGCAGACAGATTCTCCTTCTCTGGTCTCCAGTTTAGCCAGGGCTCATCGACCCAACGCAAGACATATATGAGAACCTGGACAACACCTGTCCAAATCGTTCCGTGGCCATTCTTCAGACGCGGCATGCTACGAGCAGTGGCATGGGCGGCTTTCCTTAAATCCGTACAGCTGGACTGTGGCGAGGCGATCTCCGGGGGGGAGGGACTCTGAGCACCCAAGGCCCGACGCCTGCGACACGCCGGCACGGTCGATGCGAAATCGCTTGATGTTCCAGTTGCCCGTGGAGATCGCGTTTGCCATCGCCCGGGTGAGCTTCGAGCGGTCCTGCCACGAGTCCAGAATGTCTGGGTACCTCGCAGCATTCGATGCCATGGTACATGGCAGCTTTCAATTTGACTTTGAGTGAGAAATGCTGAGGCAGGGGCGACGACATATCTTTCACGCGAGCAGCTGAGGATTGATGCCATTTGGACAGAAGTAAATCTGCTTGCTTTTGCAGTTCCATATTCATGAACTTGAACTGGTCCTGGTCTTTCAGCTGGAATAGTTCGGCAAACGACCAACACGCATGTTGGCATCGGCCAGCTCTCAATTCAATGGTTTCGTCGTTTAAGCAGTTGGTCGTTCGGGCAATCCTCGAACAGCACCTCGATAAGCTGCCCAGAAAGCTCCAAGCGCTTGTTGCCATAGTAGTCCCCTTGGCCCACAGACATGTCTACAAACACTCGCAACTTGGAATTGAGTACAGTAGAGCCTTGTTTCAGGTAATGTGGCTCAGCGAGAGGGTTCAGCAGCTCTTCATGTGGAGCCGAACTACGATCATCCACCAGTCTCCCATCGTACATGGCATTGATCACACGGCGGATCATCAGCCCAAAGTAGCCTGAAGTCTGCATGTGCAACCTCCATCCATCGATTTCAGCTGCTTGATCGGCTGTGGTTTTTAGCCGGATCTTGCCAGTGCAAAAGCAGATGCAGCAAATAGAAGACAAGGAGCGAATCTTTGGAGCCAAATTGTTGTTCGGGCATTCAATGTGGGACAACACCTGGCATAGAGGCAGGGCTTCTGGAAAAAGCAGGCGTTTCAAAGGCATGCCCTGTACCGTTACGGACACAAAATGTGCAGCTGTCACGCCTGTCGCTTGATGATGTCCATGGGGTCTTGCTTCCTGCGCTCTTGTCCTGGCGCTTGCATCATGTCCGAGGACATGCATTGGACGTCAGGCTTCCGTGAAAAGCAGGCAGCCATATTAGTGCAAACTGACTGTTCGCAAGCATACTGCCCGAGCACGTTGTAAGTACTGCCGGCGACAGAGGCTTCCTGGCTTGATTTTTATCTTCGTCGACAGGAAGTCCAATGCAGACTTCTGCGAAAACACATTCTTCTCCTGAGGCCACCCCGGCAAATGTGAGTTGGATGATTGTAGAAACTGTCTGGAACAAACATACACAGTCTACACGTCCGAACACCACTCCCCACAGAAACCTACGTTTGACAGCACCACTCGGGTCGCTTCGGCAAAAGCCTCAGAGACATCGCCAAGCCACGTGGCATTCCTGCAGAGATATCATCAACGTGTCCAGGTACTTGCGCTGAATCCCCACCATCTGGATGATCTCCATATCGCTCTGAGCCCCCATAGCCTAGCACGTTGCGGTCTCTGGCACGCGTTCGGAAAACATGCAAAGGCTGGAGAAATTTCGCGGGAGCCTTCATCACAATTGAAATCGGGATCAAGTCAGCAAAGGCCGAGTTCTTCATGTACAGACCCTTCTTCCGCGCCAAAGGATTTGCCACAACAACCTCCGAATTGCGTCAACGGATTCAGGCACTCTTAAAGGCTTTCTCTGGCTTCGAGGATGAAATCTCTGAGGCACGAGCAGTTCGGCTCTTTGTGTCTTCACCTCAGAGACCCGCCTATTGGCTCGAAGTGTGTGCCGACATACGGTGCAGAGGCCTAGAGTATGGATCTGCAAGCCTCGTGGCTTGAGGAGGTGACAAAAGCTTGCAGCAGCTTCTTGGAGTCGTACTCGACAACGATGCGATTCATCAAGGACTGACACAAGGCCGAACGGGCGTAGGCAAGAGCAGCCGCAGATGAGTCGCTCTGGCAGGGCCAATGTGTAGCGGGAGTGTTCTGATGTCTTGGTTCGGGATAAAACTCCGAGGCCTGCTCCTGCATCATGAGAACTCTCTCAACACCTTTGACGATGAAGTATCCTGCAGGATTTCCAGCAAGGATGGCAGAGAAACGAGAGTCAGAAACAGGCAGTTTTTCCACAGCCATCTGTCCTCCGGGATCCAAAGGGCACTCTCCCAACGCAATGACGTCCTCAAGCTCAGTGAATTCATCGATTAAAAATGATTAAAACTCACCTTCGTCACGCTTACTAGGCTCGGAAACCTCATGCAACCGAGAAGCCTCATCGGTCTTGGCAAGGCTCAAAGGGCAGAGGTTGCTCCGCAGCATGACAGGCAGCATCCCAATTTCCAAGTCCCGCTTGCGGACCTTGCGGTCGCCCTTCCAGTAAACCACATCCACATAGATCGGAGCGGCATACGTAAGGTCCCGGAGGCGGCACATGTGAGGGTTCGTCTCCTGGCTAGGACCAAGAAGAACCAGTTCATCTTACGGTTCAGCCAGCACGCATTTAACTTGCACCGCCATGGGGGCACCCCCACCTGCACAATCATATCCTCGGTCTTGGAAGGCCTTCCCACGCGGATGCTTTCGTACTGGAGAAACCAATTGACGTCAGATTCACTTCTGACCGTGTTGTTGCTCGCCGCTTTCACAATCTTCTTCATTGTGACATTCCTTGGTTCATGTAAACCAGCAGATCTCATTCCGTAGTCTAGGATTGCCAATCTCAAGCGTTATCTGCAATGTGTGCCCGCGTGCAGATGCAGGACTGATGCCGCTCCAAGGAGCACGAAATGGTTGTAGGAGTCCTGGGCTTGCTTTGGTGATCAGACAAGAGGACCGTGCAATCACCGACCTTGACTCGACCCTGCTGAAAGCATGCCTTGCTCACCTCAAGTTCCGGGCTGCAGGACAGGTATCGATATGCTGTGTCACAAGCCCCTTGTATTCCAGAAACAGGTCCACCAGCCGCCATTTGTCCGATATGGATGCTACCTCGCCCGTGCAACACATCAACCGCGTGAGTTCCGCAGCTTCTATGCATCTTTTGGCACCGACAGACAACACACACAACACAGGATACTAGGTAAGATGGAGTCGTGGTTCTCTTTTGGCAACTAGACATCTGCTTCATCTACCGTTGGGGGCTCGACAAGTCTGGCTGCTACCTTTTTCTGGGGGCCTGGCTCCCTCGGCGTGATCATTGGAACTCGTTTAAGTGGTTATCGAGGACACCAGGTCACGAAAACACAACCCCAAAACTTGGCTCATGAGAAGTTGGTTGGCTGGGCATTTAACTGAACAAAAACATAAAAGGATCCAGTACCAAGAGGGTTGGCCTGCTGCGACGCTTGGACTTCCGCAGCCTCTTCTCTCTTTTTTCGCTCCTGGGGCCACTGTCAATCCACGCTGATGCTGAAGAACTCGCAAGAACTGCTTTGGCCAAGGAGAGATGGGCTATGCTGGGAATGCACTCCAAAGCATGGCGTGGCCGTGCAAATGCAAATTCGTCGGATTTACGTTCTGACAGCTCAGCAATGATGCAAAGACTTGCTGACAATGTCTTCGTTGAAAGTTTGAGCACATTGCAGCAAGGCAAATCCACCGTGCCTTGTCCCATGGCCATTCTTGCCTCCACCAGTTGCCTAATTGCAGGCACAAAATGGGACAATGGCCTCAAGTCCCTACTCGAGGGAGGAAGATTTGTCTGACCCGGGGTGCGAACCATGCTTCACCAAGGCTGGTGCTGGCATGCTATCTCCTGAAGAAGCAGGCAGAGAACGACACGGAGTAAAGCAGGAGGTTTCACATCACAACAGGGTCAGTCCAGGCCGGAGATGCGATCTGAATGTGCCAGGGCATGGCGCAAAGGGGCTGCTGATGCGGGCGGCCACCCTTGAGCCCTCTGCTGCTGTATGGCTCGCCTCGTGCAACCCATGTACTCTACAGATCTACCGGTCTACATGTCGCCTGTGCCACATGCTTTCCGCAGAAACTGGAGCTCAATCCCCCCACATGCTCCGTCTGTCGCTGCAGCTGCTCCAGTTGCTCGCCTCCGGGCTTTCTCATTACCCGAGACAACACAAAGATCATGTAAAGTTGGCGGTTTCCCCGTCAACCGCTGCTTCAGGATCGCAAGGCGAAGCTAGCATGCAAGTGCTGAGCCGGCCGCACAACGTGAGATTCTTCTTAGGGGAAGAGTCCTGCGGCCAGTTGAGTCGGTGCATCGACAAAAAATTTGAAGATCCGGAAGTAGAGCTACAATGGCAGCTCCCCTGCCCAATGCAAAGGCACAATGTGCACACGTCAAGACCTTGAAGGCGATCCTGATTCTCTGGAAAGTTCTTAGCGAAGTGCTCCAACAACTCCGTTGCCGACCTGGCATTGCTTCTGGCTTGAGACATCCTCTTCGTGTGACGGATCCTGTCTCAGCCCGGTGCGTTCCAGTCGGGAGACTGCTTCTCCTAGCAGCAGTTGCGGTTCACGCAGTGGACTGCTTGTCATCAATTCGGGACTCCATCCGGTGCAAAGAAGAGCAAACTCAACTTGAATGACATGAGCCTGCACTCTAACATCTGCGAGGTCCTGTGAGATTTCAAGCAGGTGGAGCTACCAGGCTTGAAGAGCATCACCTCCGGCGCTCTGTGCGCTGAGGTCTCGATCTCTGCGGCTTTTGGGCTGCCCATGGCTGCGCCACTGCGCCCGCGCCGCCGGCTTCCGGCTACTGAGCTCCCATCTTCAAAGCCCAAGAAACTCAGAAAGGCTGTGAATCAGCTTCGTTCTTGGAACCTGGCGGGTCTCTCCTGGCAGACCGAGACCATCGAGCTGCTGTTTTAAGCTCAAAGCTACGATGCTATTCACCCGCATCTTTCGCTGCGCCAGCATTGGGCATCAGTGTCAGGTCAGCGGGTATTCCTACATGTCGCCCCTACTCCATCACACGTATTCGCTGATTTCAGACCTGAGCTTTTCTTCAACGATGTCGAATCTGCGTGCACTACACTCGCTTTGGGGCTGTAGAAACTCATGAAAGGACTCCCTGCACTCGGACGCTCCAGCACATCTCAGGATCCAGCAACTTTGCGCCTGGTATTTCAGTCAGGCTCGCAGTGCCATCTTTGATGTACGCCCTGACCTGCAGCACTGCTCTGCGCCAAGCAGCTTGTAAACTGGTTGTTTCCAGTCTGGGCTTGCCGACCGTGAAAGGTGTTCCTCCGCCTCGGCGGGACGAGACACCACAGCTCTGAGAGTTGGCACATCAGTGTGCTGATCACAACATGAATCCACAGATGAAGTCTCCGACCTTCCATGCAAGTCGCATAGACCTGGAGAGGCACTCAGCTCCTCCCTAGAAGACCATGCACGGCGCTGAATTGAAGACTTGCAGGTACAACATAACATAATTTAAGGCAGCTGGGCTGAACGCACATCATCACATCACCCCTGTGCACAGGCCTTCCAGACACCGTGTCCTCCACGAAGTTCGATCTCCCCGCTGAGCTGCCAGGCACAGATGCTCCGACAGGTGCAAGGGCAGCTACGTTCAAGGCTTCGCAGCGCCGACCTCGCGAAGTTTTCCCTCCTGAAAAAAACACTCAGGAGCACCATGCCACGAGGATGACGGAAGCCGGAGTCTCAGAGATGACACTGTCCGACTGAGCTGAACCATGCTCCTTCTTAAGCTCAGCTCTGCCATCGGGACCTGCGACATTGCTTCGAACGATGCAAGGGGCTCTGCAGATAAAACATGCACGGCAGGTGCACCTACAACGAGGAGCATCACACGGGGATAGCTCGTGTCCTGTCTGCAGCTAGGCCATTGTAGTCGAAAGCTGGTGTCGAGATTCGGCTAAGATCTTGCACCGCGCCGCACATTCAAAGGAAAGTAGCCGTCCCAAGCCGACCTTGTAGTTTAAGCCATCCTGCTTTCCTCAGCCGCTCAAGATGCCACAAAGCATGCCGCCCCTTGCAAGCTGCTGCCGAGCTTCGCTTGTAAAAGCGACGCTGACGGTGCGCCAGCGGCTGAATCAGCATCACCTCGCTGTGCACGTTCCAAGTTCGGAAGTCAGAACATAATGCCTGAGGATCCGAGGCTCGGACCACAGCTGTCCTCGAGAAGACAAAACTTCAAGTCTTAAAGCTCTTTCAAAGATTGCCCACTCAGGCCGGCACATGGTATCCTTGCAGGGGAAAAGGGGCACATGCTACAGCTGCCGCTACACTGCTCCAGGAGCTCCTTGGCATCTGATTTCTCCGCACCGTCGAGGTCAAAGCGGGAAACTAGACCTGAGAACTGAAGCACCTCGGCCTGGCATCTACAGCTTCGAGAGCCAAACAACACATTGCTCAGGTAAGAACGATCATCCAGCTTGACGTAGTTACCGGGGAAAAAGCCTCAGTTTCATGTGAAAAGCTGCAATCGTCAGCTTGACCTTCCTGAAGCACGGGGTCTGCACCTGACTTCGAGGTCCCTTCCGTAGACCCAGTCCTAAGATGCTGAGTCTCTCTATCTCGCTCTTCTTCTTGCCGCTCTTCGTACTTTTTGAAGCAATGAAGATAGCCGGAAGCGTAACCTCAATGACGTCACTGCTTGCCACTGTCACAACTGTGAAGGGAATGTGTCCAAACTGTAGGTAACCACACAACTCAGTACAAGAGGACGTCAACGTATGCCATGTGTCTGATCAATCGACATGACCAGCGAAAATCCCAAAGCCTGTTGAATTTGAGGCTGCCGCCACCATCCGGGGGCAATGCGATCTACGTTGATCTTGTCACCTTTGACACCACACACTGACTTGAAGCTCTGGTGGTCATCACACCCTGTAAACGTACGACAGGCCTGACACCAGCCAAGCAACGCTCGGACCCCACACTTCCCAATACAAGCCGGCTTCAGAAAGGAACTGTATGCATGTGACAAAGCACCCGCTGTCATTGCTACCACAGGAGCTGGCCTTTCCAGAAGCCAATCTCATCGTCCGCACGCTCCTCTTCAGCAACCGAACTTCTTAGCTAGATATGGATAACGCGCTTCGCAACGGTCCTGGCCTTGTAAGTCCACAAAGCCGTAGCCTTACAGGAACAGTTCTTGGCGCGACGGCCACCAGAAGCTCTGGCTCATGAACCATAAAATGACAAAAAGCAATAATCATACTAATGAGACTGATACTAATAGTAATAAGAATACTACAACAATAATAGGACTACGACTAACGAAAATCATGATAATACCAATAACAACCTTCCGTTATCTTTAGGAGGGGCCAAGGCCCTCCCAAAGGCACGATCGGACTCTCGATCGGCACTGCAAAGTGTGGGCTAGGGTTAGATCAGGGGCCTTCATCTCGCCGGTCTGGAAGTATGAGTATTGTGACAACATCTTCCACCTCAACAGCTACTATGTCCACTCGGCAGGCTCCAAACCAGTCAGACAGAGACAACATGCTGTATTGCATAGGAGACGAGCGCGGGTCGACTCTCAGCGTGGAACTTGCAGCCAATCGTGCGAGAGTAATGCACTCCGCCCGAAGTTGCAAGGAAGTCCTCGCTCTGAATTCCATGCAAAGTCTCACATCCAACTTCCACAAGCACATCGGCACACATGGCGTGTTGCGATCACGGTCTTCTGAGGCCCTGCTGTTTAAGTCGATGTGTCCACAAGCCATCACATCTGAAAGAGCAGCTCGCATCAGCTCGCTACAGGTAGTAGTCTGACCAATGAAGAGTCGAATTTTGCAGCAGGCCTTTGGCCAACAAAGAACCTATACATTCCTGTCGCACTGCAGTCGGCAGTTCGCACTCCCTGAAGTCCAACACAACTTCGGCCAAGTTTGGGCCGAAGGCCGCTGTAAGGGCAGTCAGGCCCTCGGACCCTACCAGGCAACTTCGCAGGTCCAAGGTCAGCTTGGCAAGGTACTTTGGCAGCGTAGCAGCCAGGCACACAAGACAGTCACCTCAGACACTCCGAGCCTGACTCAGAGCACCACAAGAAAACGTGACAGGGAAAGACTGGTTTTCCAAGCAGGCAAGCTGCTCCTGGTAGTCACGTACGCCAAGCCCAACTCCAGGTGGCTGAGTCCAACTGGTAAGGAATGTGCAATCGCCAGCACACCACCTCAGATCTGAATTCTAAGTCCACCTGCCCTCAGAAAGCTGAATTTGCTCAACAGACAGCCTTCACTCAACGTCCCGAAAGTGGATCATTCTGGAACAAAGGGCGATCCGCAATGTCGGTCGCCCCCAGTTGCAGGCTCAAGCGCGAAAGCCGGGATGGCATCCGGTGGGCCAAGATCTCTGCCTTCGCAGTCAGAAAGAAGAGAAGCGAAGCTCCGCCGTGGGCGGAGTCACAGCCACGTTGGCACTGCTGCCCAGGAGCGCCACGGTCTCCTATGCCGCAGCTTCCCAGGTCCAGCTTCAGCCGTGAAAGACGCTGCGGTAGGTGAGCTGCCAAGGCGGCCACACCGTCCTTGGTAGAGAAGAAGGATCTGCTGAATCTGGGCTGTCGGAAGGAAAGCAAACAGCTTCAGAACAGACAAACAGTCAGAACTGATCTCCAATCGCCAGCATGTGTCTGCAGTGATTCCACAGAGACAGAAGCTGAGCTCCAACACTGTCAGCCGTTGCGGGAGGTGCTGTGCTAGCTGGATCGCATGGCTGCCTTGCAAGGACCCCCTACCCTGGAGCCTCTTCTGTGCCTCTACAGACAAATTAAATTTAAGCGCCGCGGTTTCCGGTCGGCCATGCAGTATCTTTGGGCCTAGCTTCCTAGCTGGCAGCTGCGAAGCTCTAGGCGAAGACATTGCAGCTGCCCAGCGCCCAACACAAGAGCTTCAATGCCCTCCTGGAAGTGACACAGACCGCTGGAGTGCTGATGAGTGCCGGGACTGGGATAGGACCAAGATATGCCAGGCGTCCGGTGCAGGCCTGGATGGAAAGCTCCTCGTGGCCGTGCATTAGCCGCATGGGTATGCGGCATCTGCACAGCCCAGACCTCGTCGCTCCAACCTTCAGTCGCGGATCCGACAGCCTGCAGTAAGATTCATGATTCATTGAAGCGAAGCGAACGAATGGAGGCTGCATAAGTCGGGAACATACCTCCAGTTTTCCTGGCCCTGGCCAAGGCAAAAAAAATCGAATGCTAGACAGAGATATATAAGAAGTGGCGGTTGTCCTCGTTTCCGAGCTCTTGGGTTTCAACCAGGCACGATTGATTTGGGGTGTTTTTCTGGGTGCAGCTACGCGAATTTAGGTTGAGCCGGCAGTCCTGCTTCAGGTTGTAACAGCTGCGCAGGTCGAGGCAGAGTCTCTTCAGCGTGCTCAAAGAGAAGCTCTTCCCAAGCAGCTTCAGCTCTGGAGTGCCCATATCCGTGTGATCCAGGTGCAGCTCCAGCTCCCGCAAGCCGCGCATCCGGCACAATCTCTCCGATAATGCAGGCAATGCCGCAACCACATCCTTGAGGCTGCTGCAGTGCCGAGGAGCCCTACTCTGCTGACTTCTTCGCCAAGATGCAGTCGAGCCGAGATCCAGGACAAGCCTTCGCAGCCCCAGCGGGAGGTTCTCGAACAAGGCCACGAGGTCATCAGACAGCCTGGCATACTATGGCGTAAACGTAAACACCTACGCTTACTTCTGCTTGATCTCAACGATCCTAATCACCTGTTTCATGAAAGCTGGCCTGCGGCACATTCCGAAACACAGCTCCAGCTGCAACACACATGTGAGCCTTGGAGTCCAGCCCAGCACAAACAAATCATGACTAGCGAACGTGCGACGAACGCATCATCAACATGGCGACAAATCTAAATCCGACAGAGCCCAGTGTCTGGCAGAGCGCGGAGGCCGTCGCGGGTGTCAGGGCAGAGAGGCCACTGCGCCAACAGTCGAGTCGCAAGACTTCAACTGCTGCAGGCAAAGACAAGAGGATCGCCTCCAAGCCTGCGGCAGCCACAAAAGCCAGGGGCTTGAATTCTTCAAGAGCCCGGTCACACAAAGATGCCCGGCCTGAGGAAGTCACGTGACTCCCGCCCAGTCCCAACTCGAAGTGGAGTAAGCTGCCTGGTAGTTGCCAACCCCGACCCCAATCTTGGAGCAAGTCCTCGGCAGCAGACACCGAGAAACTTCAGCAACCGCACGGTGCTGGCATCCGACACTCACGGCCAACGAACTCAGAAACAATATTATGCTCCGGTTGATCGGATGGTTTGTCAACAGGTCCAAGGTTCCTCTGCGCCAGCACACTCGAACAGCTCCAACTGAAACCTGAAGACTTGATGATACTTCATGCATGCTCTGGATCCTTGTCGCTGTAATTGATCCAACTGCGATATAGGGCTACAATACATAATCATATAATGTATATAACATATGATATCGAATATCTTACAATCTGAGGTGCAGCGGGGGCCACCTAGGGCCAGCGTGTCCACCATGAGTCGAGCTGCTGAGCCAAACCCGGTGGAAGCCGTTGAAGGAGGAGACGCAGACCGGCACCAGACAGCGGCCGTCCCCGGAAGTCCTCTCGGCAGAGTGATGGTGTTTGTGATTCGTTTTCGTGCCTGTGGGTGGCACAAGGAAGAGCTCGAGACGCTATTCGGGGTTGAATGATGATGCCGGGGGCTTGGCCTTGCTCACCTTGACATGCCGTAACATCGGGACGACATGCTGGGAATGGTTGTTATGCGCATCTTGCATGCTGTCCAGCTCCAGTCGCCGCAGAGAGGCAGGCAACGACTGGCCCAACCAGTAGAAGGCCTCATTCATGCAGGATGAAGGGCCTTCAATTTCATAGACCCTGGGTCTTGCTGTTTACACTTTTAAAGTTTACACGTAATTTCATAAATGTTCATGTTTGCATGGATATTCGAGTCAGGAAACACCAGCTTCCACGCAGGCATGTCCCGGCAAGGCAAGGCGCAAGTCCTCTGTTACACGCGGCTTGGGCACTTGCGAGTTTCTTAAGAATTTCGGTGTTCCTGTTTAGAGTTCTTCCCGACACATTTGTCGGTAGGGCCTACTGTACATCGGGTCGCATGCTCTGTAACAGCTCCAACAAATTTAGGTGTCGACGACTAATACGTGGACCCTCGCGAATCTCGCATTTCGAAGCACTGATTACGGTCTCATAGCTCGGACAAACTGAACGGAAGTGCCTGTGACTGTGAGCCGTCGAGTAGGAGCAGCGTAAACAACTAGCACGTCTGGGGCATCCGGGGGTTGAGAATCCCCGGTGTCGACTTTGCAGACGAGGCCCTGCATATCTTTACTGCTGAAGTGGCGACCGTGATACTGCGAATGCTGCTGTGACATAGCCCTCTGCACAGTACTGCAACGGACAACACCGCTATCACACACACACACACACAATTCTCGGCAATGGCAGCCAGGCACGATCAAGCATTTCTGGCCCCTTCCTCGAACAGCTTCAGTTCTCGCTCACATTTCCGCATGCTCACACAATAAGGGTTTCCGAGTCTAAGGTGTTGGTAGGCGTAGGCGATTCAGCCTTGCAACAACCTTTTCTAGGTCGGGTTTGTTTAGATCTACTCGCCGCTTCACCACTTCTCTCCTCCATGTTCGGTGGCATCTTCGCTGCGAGGGCAGGGAGGAAAGTTGCCAGGTCAACTCCACTCCACCTCATGCGCAATTACACCACAAGCCGGTAGGAAAGGAATGCAATGATGTGGCGGCTCATGGCAAAGTTGTACGTACTCCTGCTTGCAGGAAGGAGCGTGATCTCGAAGGCCTGCACAGTGGCCGGGAGGTTTTGTGCCAAACACCTTGGTGTTCGCATGCAGCCCTCGAAATCTGGTGAGGTTGTGCCGTTCTAGAGGGATTGGCCATGTCCTTTTGAGCTTGGGTACTCGGCGCCTGCCGCTGAGCAGGAGAGCTCAAGGCGCAAGCTGCAAAGCGGCTGTTGAAGCCGGCTAACCAAGCTCCTGGCAGCTTGAAAATAATACTGAACCTCAAAGCTGAGCAGCACACTCTCGACTTTCAACACACCAAGAGACTGTGCAGTAGATGTTTAACTTCATCTACATGCTGAGCCAAACAAGCTACAGGACCGGACAAGTTGTGCATGCTTCCATCCGCACTATTTGGAGACTGAGAATGTATGGAAGAGCGACACGTACAACTCACGGAGGACGTCTGCTTCTTCGCACTCTTACATGTTTGCGTTTATCGTCAGTGCGCAGTGTAGGAGTTTACAGTGTGTGATGCTGATTGTCATCGCACTCACATTAGTGACAGGAGTGGTGGTAGCCCGGCCCGGCTCAGCCCACCAAGTGGGGCAAATGGGGCGAGCGAGGCAAGCGAGTGGCACATTTTGGTGCGGAGGGGAGTGTGCCACTTGCTCCCCACATCCTGCCGAGCTGTCACTTCCGGAGCAAGGCCGAGCTGTCACTTCGTTTCGGAAAAGCTCGCAGTGCTGAGAATGACAGATCATGACGTCGAGGCCGGAGTGTTGTAGCACTGAGTTTCGCAAGGGCCTCTGGTTAGGGCAAGCTGGCTCAGTGGGGTCGTACAGTCGTACAGGGTTTTGCGTACACTACGAAGACAACTTCGGATGGCCGTGTCTGGCATACTGGCAGCTGGCAGCAACATGGCGAACGCAGCATGTCACATGCATGGTGTTGATGTCTGTCCCGTCTCCTGAGCCCCATGACGGACGTGCCAGTCGCGTGCAAATTCAAGTCCAGATGCGTGAGCCCTTCTGGAATTCTGGAGGCTATGGCCTCAGCTTGGTCGTGATGTCGGGTCAATGCAAACCTCCACAGGCAGTCCGAGCCACTTGTAGCCCCTTGTCACAGCAGTGGCAAAAGCTCAGATCCAGAAATAGCTCCTCACAGTTGCAGCCACTTCGGGCAAGCAGCAAGGAAAGGCTTTGTCGCCCTTGCTTTCAAGGATGCTCCTTCAGCGTCTCCGGTAGTTTGCTTGCCATCCGCTCAGCGCCACCCGGAGACAAACCGCACCCACCAAGGCCCAACTCGAGCTTGCGCACCTGTTGCAGCAATGTTGCACTACGGCACTACGGGTACCCTGACTTGTGAGCTGCATCACTGCATCAGCCCGTGCCTGCTTCGGAATGTGCACATGCTGGCACACTGCTTCATCGTCAAGTCCGTTGAAGCTCACCTCATCCAGTCAGCTCAGGTCAGACGATGATATCAGGCGGCCTGGATCCTTCAGATACAAAGCCAGATGTTGAAATGCAGAACTTGCAGAAGCTATCAGGTCCGAGAAGCATCCAGGTGAAGCGAAACCGGCTTTGCTAACTTTGCCTTTTGCAAGGCTGCCCCCAAATGTGCAAGTCCAGCTGGGCCCAAGAAGCATTCGCTGACCTTGGACTTTCATCTTCGACTCTCCGTCTCTATGTTGCGCAGGTCCCGTTCAGATCCTTTCAGCCAAGTATTGTCTCGTCTCGGTCAGACTCAGCTTTTGCTGGACGTGAGACGACAAATTCTCTCGCCTTGGCTAATCGCCGAAGCTTCGGAGTGCTGAGTGCTTTGTACAGCTCCTTGAATTACCACAGAAGCAGGTCAGCCGGCCCACCTCAGAATTCAGGCCGTGTCCAGAGTTTTGCAACAAAACCGACACTGGCACACGGGTGACAGATCTCATAAGATGCCAAGCCGCTTTGTGTCTCGGCGACACAGAAATAACAAATGCTGGCATGCCGTTAGCGGCTAATCCGACAACAACCCGAAGCTGGAAAGCGGACCACCAACCAAGCAGCGCACCCAACCCTAAAACACCCTAAGGCCCCAACATCTAAACCCTTTGTGCCCCAAAACCCTCGTAGAGCTTGGAAGTCATGCGTCACACTGCGACTGCTTCAATGGCACACACAGACACAGAGACAGGTCTTGCAGAAACTGCCGCGCTGCTGAGCAGTAGGACGGGGCCATTTTTTTGGTGCCCTCTAGGACTCTACCTGGCTTCCGCGCAGCTTCTGCACAGGGCACGTGCAGTACTGAGCGACATGTTTGCTGCAGGCTGAATCGAACGAACTCTTCCTTACGAAGGCTCACACGACATCATCTCCACCAGGCAGGTGTGCTCTGACAGACTGTAAAGGGCATCTCGTTTCGGACGGCATTTCCTTGCTACCTGTTCCGAGTTCATGATCCTCACCGTTACGGCTTCGTTTTCACAGCTTCTGACGACGGGGAGTTAAGCCAGCTCGCTGAATTGGGTTCGGCATACCTGTCCTTCAAGCGATGGTCCGTTGATGTCCGTTGTTGAGAAGCAGGGCTCTCTAGCTATGCCTGCCTCTCCGACCCCGAGCTCATGCCAGGACCGCTAGGCCAATGAAGAACTGCGTCGCATGTAGATTCGTAGATACCAAATTCCAGGGATTGAATTTACTTCAATGCACATGCTACGGGCATCAAGCATGTTTGTTGAAAACTCTGGTTGCTACATTGCTACAATGAAACTCCAAACTTTATGGGATCGGGTCGAGCCCCAAGCATCAGCGTCAGTGCCAGTTGCTCTACAACTTCGATATCTACCACATTGCGGAGCCATTTTCCGGGCGTTGGAGAAGTCGTCCAAAAGCTGTAGAAAAGATCTCCGCTCTTGGTACGGCATGCACTGTTGACCACGCCCCCGAAATCGGGATTCCGGCGAGACAAGCGACATCGACCCCCCCCCCCAAGCGAAAAAGCAATCAAACTAAAACACAGACTCTCACACGCACGCACAAAAACTCACACACACGCACAGACACAAACAACCCCCGCAACCTCTTGTAGAATCAATGATTCGCAGTTTTCCGGCCCTCGTCCGACCATATCCGACCCCACCGCTAGAGCAAGACTAAACTCGACTACTCGAGTCTAGCTCTGCTATCTTGTTAAATCTCCAGCACTCCTTGCTGTCAAGCACAATTTCCGAGTGTCACACGAGCCCTTGGCTTTGCGGTCTGTGGGACGAGCCGCGACCTCTCCCCAACAAGCCATGCTTGCGCACCTTTGCTGAGGCCGTACCAAAGCGACAGTCGCTTCATGTCAGCTTCGAAAACGGACACGCTCCACTGCAAATTGAAAGAGCCTCAGAATTATGGCATCGTATGTCGTATGTTGCTTATGCAAAACTCGCGTACCTTTGACGTAGAGTCACCACACGCGACCAGCCAAACGCCAAACGCACGCAACAGGTGGCCAAAGAACACAAAGGCACTTCGGCGCAAGCAAGTGGAGCTGAACGTGCAGTGTGTATATGTGTGTATGCAAATGTCATTCGCGATCAGGCCGTGTGGCTACAGTCATCCTCCACGGTATCTAAGTCCGAGCCTCTGGTGCGGGTCCATCAAAAGGATCTACATCGCTCCGTGATACACTGACGGAGCAGCTTAAGAAGGACACCGGCAGCGTGTGGCAGACTCAACATGTTCGCATTTTCTCTGGGTGGCCCACAAAGTTCGACTGCATCTGAAATGTGGAAAAGCCGGATGCCTGACATGATCATATAAGCTGCTTCATGCACTGCTGTATGATGCAACTGCGCTAAGGCCCTGTTGCAAAGGCTGTTCCGATCTGTTCCGAGAGGCTTTCGCACGTAAGATTCGTGCTGTCTTGCTGGCACTCTGGAGGCCAAGCCGCCTCAGAAAGGGGAGGGACTTATGTACGTTCGGAAAGCTCTTCGCAAATCTTTGCCATCTGCGTGTCAGGTTTAACAAGGCCGATTTCAGGCTTGAATCACGGATCCGGCAGCCAAGATGCCTCCGTTTTTCTCGGGCTGCCATTGGGATTTGATTCCTTCAGCTCCTCTGCGACTTGCGCGGCATCCTTGCCGCAGAGAAGGGTGTTGACATGTTTCAAGATAAAGAATACAGACACCTGCCTTCAGCTTCAGGAAATCTTCTTCCACGGCTGTCTCTGGAAGGCCCGAACTTAACGATGGAGCCGGCTTCACTTCCTCAAGGTGGGCCGTGGGCTCCTGTCACATCTCAGGCTTAACAAAGGCCGAGCTCGAACAGAAGGTCCTCCTCAGGCTGTGCCGCTTCATCACTAGGCGCTGCCTTGTGCGACTTCAAGAAGAGAACACACCCAAACATGCACCTCACAGCCCACGGCCTTCCTCCCACCGATCTGATCCGATCTTACACTCTTCTGCTTCATGTCCAGTTTCATCTGCACTGTCGCTTCCTGACCGGGTGCATGTACATACGTGTGCGTACATGCACGGGTTAGGTGTGGCATGGTATGGTCGGGTGCACTATGGTATGGTATGGTATTGTATGGTATGGCATGGCATGGCACGGTATGGTATGGTATGTATGGATGCAATAAGAGTATGTATTCATGTACGTCTGTATCATGTATGTGCCTGTCTGTGCGCATGTGCGTGTGTCTGTCTGTCTGCCTGCCTGCCTGCCTGCCTGCCTGGCGTAGAGGACTTGTCAGGTCCGCCCGTCTTTCGCTCGAATTGCATACAATGTCTCAATTGATGGCCTCTTTTACCGCTGATGTAGTCGCGAGCTCCTGACAACTTCAGCTAGCTAGCGTGAATGGCCTGCGACGCAGAGCAGGGAAGGCCAGCAGTCCTTGCCCGCTACAAGCCATGCCTGTTCTCGTGCCGCTTGCAGAGCTTGCGGGCACTTCAAAGAGGGAAAGCTCTGAGCCTCTGCATCCAAGGCATCATATTCCTCTTCCATGTTCTCAGCAAACTCGGCAATCTCCGTGTCATGTACCTGGTGCCGCCCATTAAACTCAGGCGGAAGTCGGGAATCTCTTCGCACCGTCTTGGTGCCAGGTGTCGGGCTGTGGGCTCTTTCATCAGAAAGGGAGGCTTCAAAGATTTCGAGCCTGGTGCCCGAAGGTCCTGGCCGGCCAGACATGACAGCCGGTAAGTGTAGTACAAAAATACCTGCGATATGACACGACAACAGCAGCTGCTGCACTCCTGCTCCACGACGCTGGATGATGCTTGTCTCCAACATCCCCTCATGGGCCAGCTGCAATCCCTTAGCACATTGACTTGTGAATAGCAAACTCAAAGATGGCTATGCTCTTGTCTGATGACCTTGCACGCTGCTGATGACTCACGGTCTGTTCAATTCGGAGCTGTCTGAGTGCTACGCCGGGAGCTATTTTCTTTTGCCTGAATGCAGAACAACATCCTAGAAGTCTATTAAGTTGTCTACTCGCTGTCCATGGCATCGGGCTCGGGCCAAGCTTACGATGGGTTGCCCCGTCGCCAGGACAGCGTCTTCGGCTGCATCGCTTGGGAAGCCTCCTCGTAAGCATAACAGAGTCAGAGGTACAACAAAATATGCCGGGTCGGATTCCAGACAAGCTCGCGTAATGTTTCTTTGTTCAGTTTGCCCTTTTCGGCCTGTGGCCGCTAGCCCCCCCCCCCCCGCCCCCGACTGCTGCGAAACAACGATGAGAGGAGTTGCCCCACCCCTCAATGCGTGGACCCATCCCAGCCTTACCGAAGCCACCGAGAATCTAGTGCCCTCCCTGCTCGAGCATCTGAAGAACCGCCTTTTGCTGTCACGGTAACCCGCATGCAAAGTATCCGACCAAAGGAAGTGGGTCGCATGTAAGGTAAAGGGCTGCAATACATGGGGATGTGCTGATGTCTGGGCACCATTGGCCAGAATGCTGTTATCAGTTTCTAGTGGTGCGAGATGTTCGCGATTAACGTTTCTGAATTTTTCTGCCTTTGCGCTTCTGCTGCTGTAGTGTTTATAAGCATTTGCCTGATCGGATTACGCCCAAACTGCTGTAGATCCTTGTCGGTTAATTACACCCTGTGCCGGTGTCCCCGACCTGGCCTTGCATCTTCAGCTCCTCCCTGTTGAGCCCCCTGCCACGGCATGCTTCCGATGCCCGCTGACAGAACCGAAAGGCCTGAGCATGTGTCGGGCTTGGCTAACGAGTGAGTTCTCAGCACATTGCATTCCAAGCTTGACTCGGCTTGGGGCCGTGATTCTTGGTTCTTCGAAGACACCTGTCGGCGCGACATGTCACTGCGCATCAGTTCAAGTACTAAATCTCGGCATGGCCTGCAGGTGACCCGGCACCATGCGGCTGCAGGGGTGTCACAACCTTGCGAAAACCGGTTTTTTGCGATGCGCCTTTCAACCCCTGGCAGCTAAGCAAGCTGCCGTGTCCTGCGTGGTGTTGGGCACCTGGCTCTCACAACGTGTGGTTTGATGGCCATGAGGCGATCTATACGACCTCTACCGCTACCACGATTGTCTCACCTCACAATAGCCGTTTGCATGGCAGCTTCCATTGGCGCTCCCCATGGCGGACAAGGCTGGTTTCCAATATTGAATCTTTGAGGATCTCTGTTGCTATAGTGAGGCTACCTTGCAAAAGCTACCTGTACCACTGTGGGATTCTGCGGGGCTTCAGCCCAAGACTTCTGTCAGCGAGTGCCAGCATGCACCTATATGCACCTCCAACTCAGCAAACTCCGTACAGTCGCTCAGAAAGGCCAAGCGGCATCAAGGCTCAACGTCTGCAGATTCTCCGGCATCCGGTGAGCCAATGCTGCCGCTCCCTCCGGCCCAATGCAAGCACCTGTGAAGTCCAGGCCTGGCCACGGAGATCCCAGCTCGCGCAACTCTAAGGCCCTGCCGCGGAAACCACTGCCTGTCCGAAAGATCTGTCTCCAAACATCAGCTTCCTCCAGGATCCGCTTTCCTGCCCTAGACAGGAAAATCCATCGCAGCGCGTCTGCAGGGATGAAAGGTGGCAGCAGAGAAGCCTTGGCGCTTCAAAGAACATCGCTCTCGACGCTTTGGCGCGGCATCTTCTACAGCTGCAAGTGCCAGTGGTCTGGAGGAACTATGATTCATGGTGCGGCAACGAAGGCCTCTTCAACAAACGTCGCACATCCTGATGGTCTACCACCGAAAGTACGGTGAACCGGTATGTTAAGAAATATTATGAAACAAGAATTCAGAAATGAGACTTGGTGCACTCCAAAAACATTCTTTGACAGTCTCGCCCGGAGGTTATAGGGTGCTAATAACAGAATGCCAGCAGCATTACGGTGATTCTTTTTGAATGTGCGGAAATTTAAGCAGATACAACAGATGTTTTGCACCACGTGCCTCTTTGGGTGGGGCTGCCGGGTTTTTAAACATGGTGAAGACTTCCTATAATCGTAGGCTCTGAAGTTTAGGGTTCCACTACGCCTTTGCCGAGCTCCATCCCATCCCGACGGTGCGGGGTTTCGGATTTGAGGCTCCAAAGATTCGGCAGCCCTGCCTGACCAAAACCCTTGTGTAGTCCTTTACCCAAGAGGGCTGGCACCCAAATTATTTGGACCAAATCGGCAGCAAAAGCTTGGTTGGGGCTGGCAACCAAGTCGTGCGAACTAGACCACTAATTCGCTTAAATCCACAAACAAGGCCCAGAAGTGTGGTGGGGAAAACTGGCACCGAAATCGTGCGAGTTAGCCACCAATTGGTTCAAATCGGCAGGTGCTTGGTTGGGGCTGGCAGCCAAATCGTGCGAACTAGACCGCTTATTCGCTCAAACCTACAAACAAGGCCCAGAGGTAGGGGCCGCATCTGGATCATCTCTGACAGATTGAGAGGAGATGGACCTGTCCATCGGATTGGATGGCCGAGCGGCCGAGCGGTTGAGCCAGCAGAGTGCTCAATGGGCTAATTCGCCCACAACACCTCCAGGGCCTCGTTTGTGGATGTGAGCGAATTGAATTAGCATCTAATTCGCACGATTTGGGTGCCAGCCCCAACCCAGCCTCCCTCCCAATTTGCCTTTAGCATCTCAACCGAGCCTGCCCACCACCTCTTCACCCCTCCCACTCCACCTCCCCCCTTCCCATCCCTCCTCTCCTTCCCATCCCTGTCTCTCCTCCCCAAGCCTCCCCTGCCGATTTGGACTGATTAATTAGCGTCTAAATCGCACGATCTCAGTGGCAGCTTCCCAAAAAACACCTCCACGGCCTCACGGATTTGAGCGAACGAGGCTGCCCCCACAACACCAGGAAATGTGCTGAGGCTCTCGTGGATCTTTGTTTCTGAAATGCCATGTCCGATTAAGAAATGTGTGAGACTCTGGTGAAGGAACGAATGTCTGATTAAGAAATGTGCGAGACTCTGGTGAAGGAATGAATGTGGTTATCTAAACATAAAGTTCCGTACCAAACCAATCATCGGGCAAAGTCCAGCACCACTCTGCACTCACCCCTTCTGTACAAGCGTGCTGTTTCGCTCGCGAATGTTTGCGGCCGTGGAGCAAAGCTTGCTTGCAAGAAGTTGCGGTGAAGCTTGTCTTCTGGAGGCAGCCGGGTAGTTACTCGCTTTGCAGCATCCATTGCAGCCATGGTGCATGGCTGGCATAACTTCTCTGAGATTCTGAGCTCCAGTTCCCTACTACACTTGGAAAGGTAGTGCAGGTTCTTCCTATCAGCTTTGGCCACTTATTAGACTTGTGCTTACCATGTACCCCTGAAGGGAATTCCGGGCAAGACCCGAGCTACACTTTACACGTATCAGGTGCTGGCAGAGAATCCTCGGGAACATGACCACAAGCGCCAACCCATGTCCAAACCATGCAATGGAGCCGTGGAAGCAAATACCCTCTTACTTGCGGCATCCGCATCTTTTACACCCACCACCGCGGAAGTGGATAGGCTGAAGTCTCGTTGCTGCCACCTGAGCTGATGGAACCATTTTCTTCATCGCACGCCGGCACCACGGACAGCAATAACATAAAACAGGACTTCTGTCAGGCACCCACTTCATGCGTCGACAGTAGCTACTGGTTGCGGTTGCACATGCTACGCCTGCAGGGGAGACCGGTTTTGTCCTTTGCCTGTAATGACATGACTATAGAGGTGGCATCAATCGCTGCGATGATTCTGGTTGTTGAATCGTGATGTTGAAACCGTTTTGGGGTGCCAGCAGAACAAGTTCTCGTCTAGAGCTTCCCACACCCAAGCACGTCCGAAGCTGGACAGCACAGTAGAGTCTTCGCCCTCGAGCGCCAGGCTTTCTTCAGCACGTTCGCACCGAGCCTTCAGCGGATGGTCCTCAAGATCCAGTCGCCATGCCAGCACAAGCACCACCGGGTCACTATCCCAAGCAGGTGCCCAATCACTCGAAGTGCCCCCAGCTCTTCTCACATTCGTCACGAAAACCGAACATGCAAAACCGCATTGGCACCCCCCTCCAAGGCGCACGCTTCTCCAAATCCAAGGCGCCCACGGCTTATTCCAACTCCAGCGCGCACACAGGTCTTGTTTTCATTGGTTTTTACCAGGTATTTCGAGGCTTTCGGATTCCCGAAACTTTCTCAGCTATAGGGTCACGTTCTGTTTTCGTTGGTTTTTACCAGGCATTTCGAAGCTTTCGGATTCCCGAAACTTTCTCAGCTA